ATGGCTGCTCACCTTGTACGAGCCAGTAAGTTTTACTGCGCGCAACTTGACACAATCTTGTGCTTTTGAAGTCCCAGAAAGTCATATACTACTCAATATAATTTCTGCATATTGCATTGACACCAAAAATGCATACACAACTTATCTGTTCCTCGAGGTATGAAGGAAAACAAATGCTTAGAGTGTTCCTTCACTTGAACCGAACGAATATATAATAGAACAAGGAGTGGCGAACAAGCTCGTTCTCAGGGGAGCTTAAGCCCCTGGCCCACCCCCTATACACTCCATATTCCGAGTGGTCCCAACGATCGGATGACCTAACAGTTACGCGATCATTGAGAATTCCATATCTGGTCCCAAGATGAACTTAGCCTCGGATAACCCATGAGGTTATTTTCCCTTTCCCGAAATACTTGTTTACATTTTTATGATTGAATACTGATTTATATATAAACAGCGAAATATTTTTATTATGAATTATGTGGCATGACTACGAATCACTGAAAATGAGCTTGTTCGCCACTCCTTGTTCTATTTGAAAATGTGCTCTGTGGGACTTTTTAGACGAATATATAATAATTTTCCAAAAGTTGTGTTTCATTTTATGATCCCCCAGAGCTCTTGTCCACTATTTTACGCTTAATAAAACAGTTCGCACATGCTTGTATTTTACTCCACTGGCTCTGTGATTGCGCATGTATTTTTTCTGGTTTATTTCTAAAGGATAAGTGTGTGGTATATCCATAACACTCAGATATTCAACCATCTGTTTTCCGGTTTCCATGGGGCACCCAGCATTCGTCACATTATCTGTCAGCTTCAGCCTCTTCCACTCGATTCGAGTACGAACGCCTTAAAGAAAGCATGCAGCAATGCCGTAGTTTCTAATCTCGCCCACTTTGGTTTTTCCCTTACTTGTATTGTTCGTGATTTGTTCACAAAACCAAATCAACTCTGTGCCTGCAATGGATTTGAATGCCTCTCCATGTTTCCGTCTGTTTCACCTTTGCAAGCTCAATATGAGTCTAAGAGTGTAACAAATTAAGTTTCTGAGTTCACTGGATGTGACTCAAATTTAATTGAAAATACACTGACTAGAAGAAGCAAACCTCGTGTCGCGGAGCTCGCAACCAAGACGTTATCGTTTTCATTTGAAATCATCTGAGTGTTATCAATGAGTATTGTAGCGAACCAAAATTCAATTTCTCAGCCAGTAATAAAAACCAAATATTAATCACTTCAACTTAAGGGATGATCTGAACAAACTCTTAACAGATACCGGAGGAATGAGTTGACTATGATTGGCAACTGTAAACTGCACGGTGTTGTCTAATTAGGATTGCGAGCACGTTTCATTGTAAGCGTAAATGCAGACGAGAGTTCCCACCGACGTACAACGACGATGACCGAAAACCAAGTTTGTTTTAAACTGCCCGAATTGGATTGGGGTGGATTAGTTACGCTAATCAGTTCATCTGATTGCACAAGGAACGGGACAAGAGAGCTGATAGACGGCTAAGAAAGATAATGTTGAGAAAAGTTGCAAGAGATAAACTGAACGGTTTGGAGCTCTAAGCTATTGTTTCTGCTTTGACTGACATTACGTTTTGGGGTAGATACTGATCACTGCTATAAAATACAGACTGCTGGCTTTGTATCGTGTCATAGTTGTCGCACATTCGGTACTCCATTTTGGGAGATGATTTCAACAAATCCTTCGTGCTGGACAGAAAAAATGAGATGATACCGTAACGAACAAGTGCGATTTTAGTATGTTGCAGTCACTGATCCATCGGAGTATACCAAATAACCAAAGAGCATATTTTTGCATCGTTTAAGAAGAATACTGTCAGGTGTTGCCACAGTTGCTATTCACCAAAAGCAAGCATGTTTGTCACTCTGGGTTATGTTTACACAGTATTCGGAAAAAACAAACAATTCGTCGAATGTGCGCAAAATGAAAGCAACCAGTCGATGGCTAGAGGTACCGTAAACCAGTTTCACTTGACGGGATACATAGATTTGACAAAAACGAAAATACCCTCATGCAGTGGCATTGAGTATTTGTAATACAGTAATACAAATAAATAGATCACCATGTAACGTACTTTTGTAAAATCTACCGCGAGGTATTTTGTTTGAATATGATACAATCGCTCCAATTCCGCTGCCTTCGATTGCAATTTCTTTTCGGAACGACTTAGTAAGAAAATATTCAATCCATCCTTGGCCAATTCATTTGCAAACGCTTCTCCAATCCCCGAAGTTGCACCTGTTACAATCGCCCATTCTCCGGCTTTGAGTAACTGCTTTCGTTTGGAAAACAATAGCCTTGCGATTCCATATGTGTAGATAATATCCAAAAGCTGCTGGATCAATCGAAAAACAACGATGAAAGAAGCAGCCACAAGCAAAACACACGTAGTTTGTGTACCCATAGATTTTTGGTCTGAACTGCCAAACTACACACGAATAAACTATCCAGTGTGAAACGACTATTTATCGAACCGATTCAACTTGTTATTGAACTGCGTGCGCATTTGAGTTTTGCACATCCTGGTGTGATTTATCAGTTGAATCCGCTATTTGTGAAGTACGAAAACAGACAATATGTATTTTTGTTGAGCACGAGAATGCTATTATGAGTTTTGGTTTCGATGATATGCGGTTATAACTTGAGTGTGACAAGCAGTGACAGAAAGTGTTGTGTTCGCAATGTCACATGGGTAGTTCAACACCGACCAACTGTAGCACAACAGTCACATGTTCCAATACACACCATTCAGGTGCATGAAATATTTACCGATCTGGAGCACGAGAACAGAGAATAAAGCAAATACATGAAAATGTTAATGGTGACTTCTGACTGATGCGGGGTGTTCATTTAGACGTTACTCATTTGATCATGTGATCTTCCTGGGAGACCATGGACGGAGATTAAAAATTCCATTGCTATCTGTTTTGGAAAGCGAATAGTGTAAATTGAATATTCTAGGAAGTCAAACCCAACTGAAATTGATCATAGAAGATGAGAAATTTTGAGGGTATTTGAAAACTATGAACACCGATTACAAAACAATCGGTTACCAGATAACCCTTTTTGGCAGATGAGATGTCGTTATTATAAAATAATTACACGAGAGGATTTGATTTGCTTAAGTAGTAAATTTCAGAGCAGATTAAATGTGAACTAAAAAGCTGGAAATCGCTGGACAGCTATTTTGACCTGACTGGGTCTCATGAATATAATCCATTCGACTGGGAATTGAGCCTGGGGCCTCACGGGTAGATCCCAAGAACACTGTTCAGTTGATAACCGGGGGCCGATCAGAGCTCTTTTCAATCTGTCTGTACACAGCATGGGAAAACTCATCTCTGTGAGCTTGTTTCGGTCATCCTAGCTCGATCATCTTAGCACTAGCTTCCAGGGTTATCACTCGGTTTCAACCTGACTACTTGTCATATAAGAGTAGTAAAGAGTTCGATTAAATCCTATGGAGTATTTCGTCATGTACAAGGCAAACGGTTAACTGCTCGATGGTTACGTAACTAGTATGCTTATGTTGAACCTGTAAGATTTCGGGTTTGACCTTCCGTCGAAGGTTTCCGCTTCACTTCAAACGGTCAATTTCGTCTAAAATGCTGTTTGCTCTGGAATCTGGAAAATGGCTTGCGAATTCTCGACTGCAACCAGTGACGCAGATTCAAGCAAAGAATCCAAACAAAATAATGTTCATTTTTACAGTTATAGAGTATCCGGCTACTTTGCCAGCATACTTATTTCCTCGTAAATTCTTAGGGTTGTTGAAGTTTTGGTTAGTGAAAACTTGCATCCTTCAACTAATTTCCTGCGACATTGTTGTCCGGGTGATACTGGGGACGTTTCCTATACCGAACTCCCAAGAAACTCATGGATATTCACTCAACTTGTTTTGCTAATCATGCTACGACGTTCCCGGGAACGTCGTAGCATGATTAGCAAAACAA